GGTCTTTAAGGTCCCTTCCAACCCAAAGAATTCAGGTTGACACAGATAGATTAATGACTTTTCTGGGTCATCTACATGGGATTTAGAGAAGTGTGCTCCAATCGCAGCCCCTCCATGGGTACCTTTAGGCACAGAAGAGCTGGGGAAGTGTTGGGTGGTGCTTCTTGGCTCTTAAGCAGTCACTGGGAGCTCATCAGATACAGGTTTGCAGCCTTTTGGAGTAATGGCCACCTGCTAGTAACATGTCAATCCATTACCTAAGCTCTTAAAGAGCTTCAAGAGCACGAATTAAACCACAACCTCTTCATGTAAAGCAAAAAAAAATAAAATATCCAAAGCAGAGGTGCAAAGCATAGAGCAGGTGAGTCATCAAGACCAGACCTGCATCCTCTAACATCCCTCTTCTACTGACTGGCCATAACCTCAGCTGTGTCTTCCCAACCCTACTTTGAGTCAGTCATTTGTCATGAAGAGCCAGATGAAAACATCAAGTTTCCTCTGCCACTTCAGTGATAATTCATAACAGAACTGAAAGGACCAACAACAAACAACACCCAGGCACTTTTGAATTAATTCCAGTATTGTATTTTGCAGCCAGATTTCTAGGAAATGTTGTGCATAATCCAAGCTGAAATTCAGTGGAGTGTTGGTTTAGTTTTGTTTTTACAAAACACAGCAGCACGTGGAGTTTGAGCTCTGCAGCAGAACCCTCAGAAATCAGGAATGTTAATTTTATTACAGGACTCCTGATACACAGTTCTCATGTAAATATCTGCAAGAGACCTGTGAGTCACCTCAGGCTCTCCACAGGTAGCAGCTATGTATACCCTGCTGGAAAAATATGGGCATCTCATGAGGGAAAACCCACTGCAAAAGGATTTGCCTCACAAAGACACTTAGATTAATATCCTAGTTAAGCAAACAATTCCAAGACAGATAAAGTCAAATTTAAAAGAAGCACTCCCCTTCCCCCCCCAGCACACATACCAAGCTCAACTGCAAACTGAAAAACAAAAACAAGCAGATAAAATATATCCAAACATCCCAAGCCAGACTGGGGCCTTGGGGCCCTTCAACACAACTGCAATTTATTGTGCCAGCAAAACCAATTAGTAAGTCAGAGTAAAACAAGCAGTGAGGGATTTGCCCTGGAAGACAAAAAAGTTTATGCTGCAGGACCTGTTGAGCTTTGAAATAATGCAACGATCCAGATATCTCCAGCACTGTAGCGGGATTCCTTCCTTTGGATTTTGCAGAAGGAGCTAGAAATCCTCTGGGTTTGTGTCTTATCATGGAAAGCTCTTGGCTCAATTAAAAACCTCATCATACACTGGCAGAATTTAGGTAATACCAGTGCCTTTAGAGCTAACCCACTTGCAGCAAGCCCTGGATACTCCTCACCACCACCAAGGAGGATGCAGGATGCTGACAGCCAAGAGACAATGGTGGGGCTTGATGAGTTATTCTGAGCCTTGATTGCTGAACTGCATTTCATCAGGACTCCAATTATCTTCAGGTTTGGATTGGGTCTACACAATCACCTCATTAGACACTTGAATTTGCCAGAAAGAAAACTCATTTGTCAGAAGAACCTTAGAGAAGATTTAAGTGTCTTAAACATACAACCTTCATGGGGCAGGGAGGAGGACATCAATTATGACTGCCAGATTTGGGTCATTGGCTTGTGCAAGAGGCTTGTTCCACAGACTCCAAAAATTGAGTAAAAACACACATTTTCATCAGCAAAATGTCAGATGACAACTATGAAAACTGACAATATACATGAGCGGAAAACTGACCACGACCAGCGATTCCCATTATACCTGATGCCACCTCACTCTCCATCAGAAAACTCCAACTGGGAAGGCACAAACTTATTTCCTCATTTTTCCTCTTAATATTGCCTCTACAGAGCAAGCTACTAGCCAGGTGTTTTTCCACACTTACATTAACATGGATTTATCTTCTGCAAGGCACTAAAGGCCACAGAAGTGGCTTTCAGTCAAGTTCTTCTAGTAACAGACGAAAACCAGAGTATGCTAGAAACTGGAACTCGTAGCTGAAGGCTCCTTTGATAAGCTTTTTAGCTTATCAAAGGAGATTTTTAGCCAGCTTTTTAGCCAGCTAAGAAGTTCTCAAATAGGCTGGTACACGGTTGGGATCATAATTCACATATTAATTATAATATATAATATAAATTAATTAGAGTCATATCTTAATTCACTAGAAAATCCTTCCTGGGCTTTCCTCAGCTCCTTATTAATTAACAGATCAACAAATTATTAAATACTTGAAGTTTTTATGAACAGTAAATATCCAAGAGGTTATTACAAAGGGTAACTTTGGTGCTGCAGCCAAGATCACCCTCACTACATTTTAAACTAAAACTGAAGTCCCAGCTTTTAAGTGTTAATGCTGCCGCAGCTGCTATTGAGAACACAAGGGTAAAGAAAAAGCTGGCAATAGACAGACCCAGGCTCTGAACAGAGCCTCAGATATGGTCAGAAACAAAAACATCCTAATTACTAAGGATACAGAAAACCATATGTATATGCAAGATCTCAGGAGGAGATAAGGAAGAAGCTCGAGGCTGCAAAGAGCAATAGTATCAAAAGATGCTTCTCTACAGAGAAAGGGGAAAAAGTGTCAAAAAAAGAATCAGAGGTTTATTTTTTTTTTCTTTGCCTCTTCAATAAGGAGTTTAGGGAATTGGGGGTTTTGTTATTTTAAAGGTGGAGCAAGAGCATCTCTAGGTGTCCATAATGAACTGGCAGATCCCAACGAATGGCACCAAGATCTAAATGATTACATAAGCTCCATTTCAAAATAAGCCGTTTTGAAACCATGTGAAAAGGTAATTTCTCTATCTGTGGTTTCCTCTAGCTCTGATTAAGTTTTTGGGTAAGGCTAGGTAAGCATCTGAGTGCATGAAACTCCTTTAGAGAGAGCACCAAAGCAGAGCCTCACAGCAGGATGGGAGTATTCACACTGGCACCCCCTGAGATGTGCTGTCCATATGCTCTGAGCAGCAACACAAGCCCCCAGTTAAATCAGGCAGCAGCAGGTGACTCATCACTCAACAGCAACTGAACTTTTGAGAAAGGTCAGTCTGTAATGAGGAACAAGAATGACAGCAGATTTGAGCATGAAATAACTAAGAAATGCACTGTATTTTCAATCACAAATAACACCACAGTCTGTACTGCACACAGGCTGAAGAGAAACTTGCAAGCAACGTCCCCTCCTTTCCCCAAACCATGCAGAAGCATAACAGGAAAGCAGCACATAGTTTCATGAAGCCCTCAATGGCAGATCTAAGGTGCTGTCTCCTTAAGACAAAGGAGGAAGCTGAGTAATAACACAAATACAGAGCAGAAATAAATGCCCATTGCCATGGCACCAAGCACATCTCAGAGCTCTGCACAACAGATACCACAACTACAAACACATGTTCTAAAAACATTCAGAGATCTGCTTTAGGGCTTTTTGTTGGGATAGCTGAGGAAGGTAAGACTGAATCCTGAAAGGGGACATGTAGAGCCACATAACATGGTAGGACAGACAGCTGTACTTGTGTTCCCTGTGGCAGGAGGTCTTGGGATGAATTAAGGGATTCTAGAAGACAGCCACCTTTCCCCTACCTTCAAAACCAGCAGCATTTTCCCCCAAGCCTGTATACCACTCTCAGCCAGAAGCTGGAGGTTTAGTCACCTCTCCAGGTCCCAATCTAGAAGACTTTTTTATATGCCTAGCCCTCAAGAAAGCACTAACCATATCCCAAGAGGCAACAAGCAAGTCAAGAAGGTGGGATCAGGGATATCCAGACCTCATGCTCCTCATGTCCTCAGAAAACCTTCCTGAGGTCAGAAATTCACTTCTGCCCTTCTACAACTCAATCCAGCCTCCAGGAGACTTCCTACTAGAGATGAGAAGACTTGCTTCCAGATTCATCCTTTGATTCCCAGAAACTGGCTTTCAGAGAAAGCAAGTGAGCCAGTGCCAAAGGAAATGCTATCCCTAGCAATGCTAGATCTACTGCAGCTGACATCTGGCAGGCATTCAGCTTCCCTTTCCAGATGTTAACCTAAGGCTTGGCCCCCTGGAACAAGAAAGATGAGCCTTGTGACAGCTACAAGCATCTATGGGCCTAAATAACTAGCCTATTTCAGCCTTTTCCTCTTAGCATTTGAAAATCCTGAATACTCCAAGCACTTCCAAGGGCAAGAGGCCTCAGGCCCTTAGGGACTACATCATGACAAGGCTGGTCTTGAGTGACACTCCCAAGACGACCTCTTCCTAACACCCTACACACATGCTATTTGGGAGGAAACACGGCAGGAGGGTTGGAACTAGGTAATCATTAAGGTTCCTTCCAACCCAAACCATTCTATGATTCTATTTCTCCAAAACCAGTAGAGAAGTTGGGGCTTCACTGCATTTCAAGTTTGATTGTACAACACTTTGTCCCCCCATCAATACAGTATCTCCAAGACCTGCCACCTTTGTTGATGCAGATGATAAAAGTTTCCAAATGCCACCATTTAATCTTGCTTCAAAGACAAAAATCTTTACACTAAAAGATGAATCTGCCAGAGCAATCCGACATTTGCCTGGAGCTATTTGGCAAGATGTCTCCAAAGAGATCCGACACCTACACACAATTTCCACCCCAGAAGACGACAAGCAAATACACCTGCCAGGCTGGATTACAGGAAAACATCATGAGAGAACTTGAAAAACAAGGAGCCACCCAGAATAGTCACTGATGACAATGTGGAGATGATTATTTACTGCTTTGACTATCTCAAACATCTACAGGATTTAAAAACATGGAGTCTGCTCCCAGTGCAAGATTACACAACCACCACACAGGACTGTTTTCACATTCTGCTGAAGCTAAATGGATTTTCTATCACCTATTTCAATATCTCAGCTACCCCTGTAGTGCAGCTCTACCTCCAACAAGCTGGAACTACACACAAAGGTCAAATAATACTTGCCACTCTCTTCAAAGAAGTATCCATTTCTTGACATCGCTGCTGGTGGAGACTCTAGAAAAGAGACAGAAAAAAGGAAACATAAGAATCAAGACACGAAGTATCTTCACTCTACTGCTTAACTCCCCGTAAACTTGGATTACAGCAGAAAGTCATTCCCAAATATTTGCAGGCATCAGATTTTACTGAATGTGGCGAATTTAACCTTCTGTTTATTGATTTTAGTATTTACTACAAGTTTCCTATACAGCCCCAGGCAATACTTGAAAAAAGTTAAGTCTCAGACATCCTGGGCTGGGACCACAAAATAGCAAAACTAAGTATCAGGACAAGACAGACCATCTCAGTAATCTACCAAACCTGAACAAATATGGCAAAAGTAATACAAGCTAAGCATCTAAATGGTTTTATAAAAAATACAATCCATAATGAAGTCCAGGTTGTACCTTCTGCTCAGCTAAAAAGAATTGGTTTAATTCAGAAGAAAACCCAACTCAATTCAGATGAAAATGGGAATTCACATCCTATTCTGCTGCTCCTAATCATAAGGATATCCCAAAACAGTGGCTAGGCACTTGTTGATAAGCCCGAGAAGGCTGCAGCCTTCCTTGGGCCCATTTCCTGAGCTGGACTGGCAAACACTATCTGGTCCAACAGGGTCTCATGAGGAAGCCAAAATGTGCAATGACAGATCAAAAGTGAACCCACAAACAACAGCACCAGGAGTGAATCCCCACAATTGATTATGGAACATCCTTTTTGGTAGTGAGTCAGTTCTGCAGTTAACTGCTGGCAAAGTGGGTATTGAACATTTCTTTGCATGACAAAAGCACAGACGCACCTGCTTTCAGGTGTGATCAAAGTCTGGTACCCAAAGCCAGCCTGTTCTGAATGCTGACAGCATCTGACAGCTCAGCCTGTGCGGGCCAGAGGCAGCAGCTTCTCTCTACAGGTGCATGTCCCATTTTATTATGAGATAACAGAGCTCTTGATTTCCAGCTTTGAGCAAGAGTCACCCATGCAGTCCCTTAGAAACCTGCTACTCAATGCTGCCTCTTCACATGCTTCTTCCCAGCCAAAATGCAATCAGAAAGAGGAATAGGTTTGCTCTGTCTTTCCCCACTTCATTAGGCTAATCAAACATTACCTACGCAAGCCTGGGATGAATTTGGGCCAACAAGGAAAGAGTCTTTGCCTGCCTTATTGTTCTGCAGATTAGGCTTCCTGCTTTTCCTTTGAGGTATGAGACTGTTTCCCAAAGACCCTTTCTCTACCCCATCACTTTTGGCTTACAGTTTATAGGCTTTTTATTCCCCTTTACAGTGTGCCACATTTTCAAGCATCATCATTCATTCTGGTCCCTCGGGAGCCTTTGTGCACTGACGGATACAAGTCACACCACTGACGGCAGCACCTCCCAGCCCTGACACTTGTCACCCTCGTGGCTCAGACCTCCCAGGACAGACAGCATTTGACTGCACAGGTTCCTGAAGGGACACCCTAACGGCCATTAAAAAACCCAACACACAAACCAGAGGGCAATTCAAGTGTCTGGTCCAAGCAAGAAACACAATGTTCCAAAGGTCATCCCAGAACAATGGGCTGAAGGAACAAATGCACCAAACAGTGGCCAAGGGGCACCCATTACTCCAGTCAATTGTTCTCCTCCACCTGGAAGGGAAGGAGAAGATCCATCCAAGCTAATTAGCATGCTAATGATCAAAGGAAAGGTTTTTAAGGAGGCTCTTATTGTGTAATGATTGCATTTACGTATTTCAGAGAAATAAACAAAATATGCCTCAGCAGATGGATTACCCAAAGAACCAACATTCCCACCAGGATGGTATAGCCATTTCTCACTTCTGTTATGGCTTCTGAGGGAGCCTGAAGCCAAATGTTCATCCTTCACTAGGCAAAATGTGACACTTGGCTTTTCCCTTAACTGAACACACTAATTTCTACAGGCTGATGATGCCTAATGATGAGGAATTAAGAAACAGTTGTTTTATCCATTAGAAATTCCTTCCAACTGCAGCATTGCCTGGGTTGACACTGCACCTTTACAGGAGACTGGTTTGGTCACTGCTTGGACTAGGCATGAAAAGGGCAAGGCTGGGGTGTTAGAGCAGGCAGTGCCATTTCATTAGGTGGCACTCATTTCTCTGAGTCACTAATGAGCAACAGTCCCCTAGGCAACATGCTCAGGCAATTATGTTGGAGGTGCTGTTTTTTCAGATGAGTCATAAAACAGAGGTCTTAACCTTGTAATTAAAGATGCAATGGCACGTTTGGGGAAAAAAAAAAAAAGAAAAAAGTCAGGCATTCACCCTACTATGTCCTGGCAGAAGTCCAGCCCTGGCAATCTGTCTTCTCCCAACAGAATGCTGTCTCATAGTACCAACCCAATTCAGACTTCAAAACAGCCGTGTTGGCGCCTTTGGAAAAGCTGTCACAACCCCCACGGAAGGGGCTACGCACATTAACATCAGGAACCTGTGTGTAATGTGCCCAAGAGGTAAGAGGTGATGGGGTGTTTACACAAGCTCTGACATACACAGGGAGTGATGGGAGTAGCTTAAAGGTCACCACATTAGCAGAAGTGGAAGTAGGAAGGGTACACTGGGGGCTACATCATCTGCACCTCTGAGAATCTACAGAACACAATGTCCACCCAAGCTTTTCATAGAATAATTCAGGTTGAAAGAGACCTCTAAAGATCACCTAGTCCAACTCCTTGCAATGAGCAGAGCCACTTCCACTAGACCAGGTTGCTCTGAGCCCCATCCAACCTAGTCTTAAGTGTTTCCAGGGATGGGGCATCTACCACCTCTCTGGCCAACCTGGTCCAGTGTTTCACCGCTCTCATAGTAAAATATTTCTTCCTATAATACTTAATCTAAATCAGCCTCTCTTGGTTTAAAACCCTCAGCCCTTGCTCTATTGCCACAGGCTCTGCTAAGAAGTCTGTCTCATCTTTCCTTTAGGCCTCCTCTAAGCACTGAAATGTCACAGTAAGGTCACTTCAGAGCCCTCTCTTCTCCAGGCTGAACCACTCCAACTTTTTAACCAAGCAGAACAAAGCAGGCAGATCTCAGGGAGAGTGCAATTAGTATATTTCCTCCTTACACATTAACCCTCTTCTCCCCATATTTCCTCAAGTTTAGCACAAGCAAGCATTCCTTATGTTCTGGGATGCTACCTAAGGACAAGACCAGCTAGACTGTGCTTAAATTCAGGCCCAGTAGCAGCCAGCAAGACAAACACACCAGCAGGCTCCACCTGCCTTCCCCTCTCATAAGGCTTATGGGATTTAATACCCAAGGTCTCAGCTCCTTAGTCATGTTTTGCTGGAGACAGGAGCAATGGGTTTGAGCTGTGCAGACCTGACAGCAAGGCAGAGCCCTCTTCTCCCTAGCAATCAGGTACATAGCCACAACCTGACACACACCCCAACCTCCATTTCCTCTCCCCACCTCACCTCCACTCTTGAAATTAAAAGAGTTCAACCAAGGGGCAGTTATAAAACACTGCAGTAATCAATGCAAGTGCTCCAGTCTGGGCAGGAATATGAGTCTCCAAATTCATTAGGGATCAACATGATAATGTTCCAGGGTTTGCCTGAAGTTGCAGAAGTGTTTCCATGAAGAATAAATCAGTCCCTGCACTAGCCTTTGCAGACTAGAGCAAGAGACTCACAATCCAGGGAGCATTTCATTACCATAGGCTGGGAGTTCCCTCCCTCCACACTGGGATTCCTTTGAATCCACCAAGCTAGTTCCTTTCCCTCAGGTTTGCTTTCAAATACTTCAGCAATTTAAAAAGAAAAAATCCAAGCAAAGCATCCAAGACATAGGGCTAGGCTTCAAGAGACAAAGCTGGAAAGCATTAGCCCAAGGAGCTAACATACACAACACCCACAGTTTTCTGCCTCGAGTTTCTCTGACCAAAAAGTCTATATCCTCACTCTCCAGGCTCTCTCAACCAAACCCTACCAGGACAAGACAATTCTGCACAATTGCTCTCCCTCCCAAGGCAGAATGAGATGCCATCTTCCCCATATCCCCAAAGCATGCGGTATAGCTGTTTTGACAACTGAAGCCATGCTCTTCAGTTTTAAGATTTAATTTACTCCAGCAACTAAGTTTCTACTGCCACCACACCTTCTTCCCTGCAGGGATGTCTACTGGATAAGACTGAATTGAAGAGGAGTTAAGTGTCACCACTTAGTTGCTTTTTCAAAAGGAAACCTTCTGAGCACTGAATTCAAAGGCGAAAGTGAAGAGCTGAAGTGCTGCAAAAGGGAAAACAAAGCTTATTTCTCTAGACTCAAGGATGCAGCTCGAGATTTCATTACTAAGTCACTACCCTGTCTGTAAGTTGAAGCAATTACAGTGACCCCAAGAGCCATCGAGGCAGAGGTATATCATAGAATCACAGGATAGTTTGGGCTGGGAGCTAAATGATCTGGTCCTAAACCCCTGCCCTGGACAGCAACACCTTCCACTAAACTTACAGATGACATTTACTTTTTACCAGGTAGCACAGCCAAGTCTGCTGTTGTTTAAGGTGCTCAGTCCTGGGACTAGAGCAAAAACAATGATCTGCAGTGGGAATCAGACAAGAAATGGGTATATTTCCTGATTTCTTACATTCTTACCATTTTTACATTTACATTTTAACAACAAAGCCCTGCCATGCCATCCTCCATTATTAAATTCCTGTGGGCACTGTGTCTTCAGATCTAATAACCCATTTTAACTCTCTTGGTTTTAAGGCTTGTAATAAGTTCTCTTGAGCCTTGCAATATTAGTGGATTATGAATAAAAACACATTCTCTGGATACTTCAGTAACTCAATTATAATGTTCTGCTGCTGGCATCTTCCAAGTAAACAGCCCTCCGCAGCACAAGCCTTATATTGAAGTAAAACACAGCCCTGCAACAAGCTTTCTACAAGTAGTACTACAGCCTTTGGCTTTTATGACTTCCCTCCAGTAAATCTCTCACAGTTCTAGTGCTTTAATATTCAGTTGGAGTTTACAGTGAGAACATCAT